TAGAGTGAAACCCCATCTTTAAAAAAAAAAAAAAAAAAGATACAGTAATGGCCAGGCACGGCAGCTCACGCCTGTAATCCCAGCACTTTGGGAGGTCAAGGAGAGTGGATCACTTGGGTCAGTAGTTTGACTCTAGCCTGACCAACATGGTGAAACCCTGTCCTCTACTAAACATGCAAAAATTGGCCTGGCATGGTGGCACACACCTGTAATCCCAGCTACTCAGGGGCCTGAGGCCTAAGAATTGCTTCAACCCAGGCGGAAGTTGCAGTGAGTTGAGACTGCACCACTGTACTCCAGCCTGGGCAATGAGCGAGATTCATTCTAAAAAACAAAAAAGTAAATAAAATAAAATTAAAAATACTGGCCAGGTGCAGTGGCTCACACCTGTAATCCCAGCACTTTGGGAGGCTGAGGCAGGTGGATAACCTGAGGTCAAGAGTTTGAGACCAACCTGACAAACATGGTAAAACCCCGTCTCTACTAAAAATATAAAAATTAGCTGGGCAAAATGGTGGGCATCTATAATCCCAGCTACTTGAGAAGGTGAGGCAGAAGAATCACTTGAACCCAGGAGGCAAAGGTTGCAGTGAGCCGAGGTTGTGTCACTGCACTCCAGTGTGGGTGACAAAGTGAGACTCCATCTCAAAAAAAATAAATAAATACTATAGCACCCAAGCTACAAGTATTCATCAAAATTAACTATTGTTAAATTTTTGGCTGGGTGCAGTGGCTCACATCTGTAATCCCAGCCATCTGAAATGCTGAAGTAGGAGGATCGCTTGAGCCCAGGAGTTCAAGACCAGCCTGGGCAACACCATCAGATTCCATCTCAATTTTAAAAATTGAGCAATGGCTCAAAGGAGTGACGGCTCAGGCCTATAATCCCAGCGCTTTGGAAGGCCACAGGAGGTGAATCACGAGGCCAGGAGTTCAAGACCAGCCTGGCCAAAATGGTGAAACCCTGTCTCTACTAAAAATACAAAAATTAGCCAGGCGTGGTGTCGGGCACCTATAATCCCAGCTACTTGGGAGGCTGAGGCAGAGAATTGCTTGAACCTGGGAGGCACAGGTTGCAGTGAGCCAAGATAGTGCTCTACTGCACTCCAGCCTGGGCAACAGAGCAAGACTCTGTCTCAAAAAATAAACAAATAATAATTACAATAATAAATAAGTAATTTTATTAATCCCTGTCAGGATTTCTTAGATTTTTATGATATATATTACTACATGAATAACAACAACTATAACAATGATTTTTAACCACACAGACACATTAAAAAGATCATAATTCAACTGCAAAATAAAAGTAAGACTTTTACTTTCACTAAGTACCTTTTCTTGAAAGACAACAGCAGTTTCCAGCCCTGGCATGATGTCTAGTAGGAGTCTGCAAGCTGCAGTGTTTAAAGGGGGCTCTCGGCTTGTCATCACGTATGCATTTACCAGCTATAAAGAAAAAAAGAAACATTGTTCATCTAAAATTCAACCCAGTCAAATTAAGGACATCTAATAAAACTTGAATGTATTCCCATTACTTTCTTTAAGGGTACGAAATAAGACTGTAAGAAACTAAACTTTTCCCAATTAAACCTTTAATTATTATAAACATAAATTATGATCCTGCTGAGCCATGATGATATCATACATAACTGCTTCTACACTCTTAAAGCCAAATCCCCCCAAAACAACTCAGCAATCATAGAAATTAAAGCTCAAAGGCTGGTGCCAGTAATGCACGCTTGTAATCCCAGCACTTTGGGAGGCTAAGGCAGGAGGATCACTTGAGCTCAGGAGTTCGAAACCAGTGGAACAATATGGTGAAATTCCATCTATACNAAGATGGAGTTTCACCATGATGGCCAGGCTGGTCTTGAACTCCTGACCTCAGGTGATCCACCCACCTCAGCCTCCCAAAGTGCTAGGATTACAGGCATGAGCCACTGCGCCCGGCTAATATGAATTTTCTTAAAAGCTAAATAAGAATCTAGATCTTTCATCTGGGTCATATACTTAATTATAATAAAACTTCCAGGATGGGTGTGATGGCTCATTCATTCCTATAATCCCAGCTCTTTGAGAGGCTAAGCCAAGAGGATTGCTTGAGCCCAAGAGTTTAAGACCAGCCTGGGCACATAGGGAGACCCCATTGCTACAAGAAATTTTTTAAAAATTAGCTGGACATGGTGGCACTTGCCTATACAGCAGTCCTAGCTACTTGGGAGGCTGAGGCAAAAGGATGGTTTGAGACCAGGAGGAGGCTGCAGTGAACCATGATTGCACCACTGCACTCCAACCTGGGCAACAGAGTGAGATCTTGTCTCAAAAGAGAAGAAAAAAAAAGATTTCCAGAGTGTTTAAGAAGATTAAAACTTTAATAGCTTTAAAAATAGGCCGGGCCCGGTGGCTCACGCCTGTAATCCCAGCACTTTGGGAGGCCGAGGTAGGTGGATCACCTGAGGTCAGGAGTTCAAGACCAGCCTGGCCATTAGAGTGAAACCCCATCTTTAAAAAAAAAAAAAAAAAAGATACAGTAATGGCCAGGCAC